CAACTGTCCTTGAAGATTGAAGCCACGAAGGTGAAAAATCAACGTGCGAGCATAGTTTTCATTCATGTTCATTCAGACATGCCACCAAAATTAGCGCTAGACTTTAATCACTCAACTATCATTAGTGTCTATATGCAGTTAATTAACAAATTAGTTAACAGCCGCTGCTATTTGTCGGTTTTGTCCTAATATCTGTTTTGGAACATAGGCATTAAACCGAATTGACTGGAAGCTATAATGCGTGTATTTAATCACTCAACTATCATTAAACCGAATTGACTGGAATATTTCCCAAAAAGATTTATTAGGTAATTACCTCAAACGTCTGCCCTTAAGGTCGTGTATTTGGTCTCCCAGGTCCGACAGGTGTTTTTCATCTTCTCTCCGTCTCGAAACCGAAGGTATTCTCGTGCTCTACGTCCCCGCTCGAACACATGTCGGCGCCGCTCGTCGTGCTCGACTGCTGGTGTCCTGAACTCGTAAGTTTTTCTGATTGTGCTCGTGCATCTCTGTGCCCCTAAGATACTTAATCCAGAAATTTCAAATCAGTTTGTTCATCCTTAACAATAAAATATATTAGTTCATCCTCTTACTAACTATTTCACTGGAGCTAAAACGATTATAATGCGTCACTACTCAGTTTTTTACCGTAAATTTGTGGAAGCTCACATTTTTTTTAATTTTCTGTTTTTTTTTTTCTGTAAAACTACTAGACTACTCTTCTTAGGGTTTTAATTTGAGAAGCAAACAGGGTAAAATGGTTTGCAGTTCTTGCAAACAAACAAAATGGCATAGCTAGAATAATTATAAAAATAAAAAAGAAACAAAACTAAATAATATTTCCTTTGAGGAATGAAAAAGCTGAAAACTCACCTCCAGTCCAAAGAAGAAACCCTGGATGATCGGATCCGTTTGATTTGTTGGGAGAGCGAGTAGCTGCGGGCTGCCGAAATCAGCAAAAAGAGTCTGAAATCAGCGAAAATTTGTGCAAGTCATTAAAAAAAAATGGATTAAACATTTAAACGGAGAGAAAGCCGGAAAAGCCGAGAAATCCAAAAATGCTAGCATACATGCCGACTTGCCGCCAACCCGTCGCAAGCCGTCGAAAGCTGCTAAAGGTGAAAAGTAGGCTTCCGGCTTTCCAACGAGATTATAAGAAAGCTTTTCGTCTGAACCACTGAACTGCTGAATCCTTGCGCGTCAAACACTTCTGCCCTTCGCCCCTTTGGCTTCCGCGAGTCCGCGACCTTAGCTAAATTCGGAAAGTGAAAATAAATTTATAGTAGCGTGTGGGTTCCAGCTGCCTCTGAGGACCTAGACCAGCTGCCAACTTCTACCTCCGGCACAGAACTTGGGGGAAAACCTCCTGATCCTTCAAAATTACTAAACACCAACACCAACAAGGATAAACAGCACTCAAATGTGCAAACCTCTACAAGCAACAATCCCAAATCCATAAGAGCAAAATCGGCCAAAAAGGCCAACTCCTCAACTTCAAAGTCCCAATGACCAGGCCGCCTCCTCTTTTTGCGTCCTGGAATACTCGCGGGTTTAATAGCCCGGACAAAGCTCTTTGCTGCAAGAATTTAATCTCTAAATTCGATCTTGATCTTCTTTTTCTGTTGGAAACGAGGATTTCTAATAACACTCCGCAAAGCCTTTGGTTCACCACCTCACATTCTGTTTTTCCCACTAAAGGGTCCTACGACAACTTCGCTTTTTCTAATCCGGGTAGAATCTGGATTAAGTGGAACTCTCAGAATGTGAGTTTTAATCCTTCTTTTACTTCCAGTCAGCTGATTCATGGCACGGTTTTTAGGGGAAATTCTGAAGTTTATTGCATCTCTGTGGTATATGCTTCTAATTCTAGAGATGAGAGACAGAGACTTTGGAAGGATCTGTCTGATATTGTTGTGGATATCTCTATGCCTTGGATTATTTTGGGGGACTTTAACTGCTGCAGGTCCCCCCATGAGAAAGCTGGCGGTTCTGTTCTTGGCAATAGCAAAACTTCTGATTTTAATAGTTTGATTTTCAATATTGTTGTTCACGATTTATCTTCTGTAGGGCATTATTTCACTTGGTATAACCAAAGGGCTGAAAATCCTATCCACATTAAGCTTGACAGGATGCTTGTTAATGACATATGGCTTGATACTTACCGAAACTCTTTTTATTTGGTGGATAATCCTCAAATTTCGGACCATTCCCCTATTATCTTACAATATGACCAATCTCTGCACCAAAAGCATCGGTTCCTCTTCAAGAACTACTGGTTGTCTAAGCCAGAGTTTTGGGATTCTCTCATCCAGGTGTTTTCCAAAAGATTTCACAGCAGCCCGATCCATGCCTTCTTGCAAAAGTTGAAACCCTTAAGATCAACATTAAATCCATGAATTGGGTTTCCTCTAACCATCTTCAAAAGGAAATTGTTGATCTCTCTAGAAGTCAATCTTATTTACTGGGTCAAATTCAGGCTTTTCCTCAAGATCTGCAACTTAATCTTGCTCTTAAGGAGATTAATCACCAACTTGCTGAGAAGAACTCTGATTGGTCGGGATGGATTATCCAAAGGGCCAAGGCTAAGTGGATGTCTAATGGGGAGGATGATTTGAAGTTCCTCTACTCTAGGATTAATATTAGACATAACTCCAATTTGATCAAAAGTATTACCACTTCGGAAGGAGAGTTTACTGATGCTGCTGCTATCAACACTGCTATTGTCAATCATTTTAAGAAGATTTACAACACCACCCTACCCTCTAACTCCTCCATCTGGACTGCCCCCGTCCACCTTAAAGTTCCTTCCAACCTTATACCACAATTAATCTCCCCCATCTCTGTTGATGAGATTAAATTTGTGGTCTTCTCCTCCCCCAATTGTTCAGCTCCTGGGCCTGACGGCTACACTTTCGAGTTTTATAAGTCCTCTTGGAACACCAACGGTACCCAACTCTGTCAGGCGGTTTCAGCATTTTTCTCTACTGGCACTATGCCTAATCATGCCAAGGCTACTGCTATTGCTCTGATCCCTAAAAGGCCTCATGCCCAAGACATTGCTGACTATCGGCCCATCTCTCTTTGCAACACCTTCTATAAAATTATTGCTAAGATCTTAGCTAATAGATTGAGAGATGTTATGCCTTTTATTATCCACCCTAGTCAGACTGGTTTTATATTGGACAGAGTTATTTCTGATAATACTTTGCTAGCGGTTGAACTACTCAAAGATTTCAACTCTTCCCATAAAAATCAATTTTTTTGTGCTAAGAATGACATCCATAAGGCTTTTGATACGATCTCTAGGAGTTTCTTAAGGAATCGTATGATTGCTAAAGGCTTTCCTAATGTCTTTGTATGTTGGATTATGGGGTGCATTTCTGAGGTTCATTTCTCTATTCTGATCAATGGGGCTCTTGAGGGTTATTTTAACTCTACGTCCGGGCTTAGACAAGGCTGCCCCCTATCCCCTTACCTTTTTTGCATCGTCATGGACAGCCTTTCTTCCTGCTTTGAGGAGGCCACTAGCCAAAATTCTTTTCAGGGTATGAAGGCTGGGGACCTTTCTATCTCTCATCTTCTGTACGCTGATGATTTGTTGGTTTTTGCTAAGGCAACTTTAGACAATGCTCACTGTCTTAATTACATTCTTGAGAAGTTTGCTTGCATATCGGGTTTACAGGTTAATAGCACCAAAAGCAGATTTCTTTTATCTAAGCATGGAGTTGATGCTGAGAATTTGTGCAATATTCTGAATATCCCTATCTCCGATGTGCCTGTTAAATACCTGGGCATACCTATTTTCCATAAGAGACTGAAAATCTGCGATTTTCAGCCTCTTTTAGATCGTATTTCGGGTTGTTTAGAGGGCTGGAAGGCCAGATCCCTCACTATTGCTGGTAGGCTGCAATACCTCAAATATACTATCAATAACATTTTGGCTTATTGGGTTCGGGGGACTGTCATTCCTAAAACTTGTGCTAAAACCATCAAAAAACTCTGCTCCAGGTTTTTATTCTATGGGGACATTCATAAAAGAGGGTTACACATGATTTCTTGGAAAGATACTTGCAAACCCTACAATAATGGTGGCCTTGGGATCCATTCTATTGACTCTCTTTTTTATGGTTTTGGCTGTAATGTGATTTGGAGGTTTTTCAATTGCAATAGCCTTTTAAACAACTGGTGGAAAGCTACATATGGCTCTTTTTGGAATTTTGGTAATTCTAAATGCTCTATCTACTGGAAAGCTCTTTGTGATGTGGCTAAATCTCTGCAGCACTCTCTCAACTTCAAAATTATTACTACCAGTCATCTTTCCTTTTATTGGGATCCTTGGTGTTTGGGGATGTCGGTTGCTGAGAGACTTAAACAAGCAAATTGGGATTTTCCTATCCCTAATGCCAAATTGGAAGTCAGCAATTTTATCAATTCCAATAACTGGAACCTTCCTCCTAACCTTCCTGCTCCTTTAGCTAATATTATCAAAACTGTTACTATTTGCAGCACTACTCAGGAATGTTTTTGGACTAAACCTGCTAAACCTTCTTTCCGCAACTTTGTCAAACAGTTTTATGTTGAGTTTGAGGAGGTTCCCTAGTACAAATTTGTTTGGCATAAACACTACTCTTTGCGGCTTGCTATTTTTTCTTGGTTTGCTTTCAAAAATGGACTTAAGACAGCTGATGCTTTAGCTGTTAGGGGAATTTATGTCACTCCCCTCTGTGTTTTTTGTAAGGCGGAAAGGGAAACTAAAAACCATTTGCTTTTTGAATGTAACTTTACATTCAATATTCTGAAGTATTTCCTGCCCAGAATGAACTCTATGCTGCTCCGTCCAAACCTTTGGCAAGTTTTTAATGATCTGGATGTTCGGGAAACTGATGTTAATAGGAAAAACTTTGGTTTCTTATTAATATATGCTATTGTTTACTATACTTGGAGAGCCCGCAATGACAGACTGTTTGGGAACAACATTGATTGCCTTACTACCATCACTTTTAAGATCAAAAAGGCTGTTTTTCTTAAGACTTTCAAGAAGAAATGCTTCCTCACGCAACAGTTAATGTTCACTTGATCTTTTCCTTTTTGCTGTGGAAGGTATGCTGTTGTCCATGGATGGTCAGTTTTGGCAACCATGAGCTGGTTGGGTTTTTTAAGGACAATGATGATTGCAATCTTCTTCTTCTCCCCTTGGACGGTCTCGGTTCTCTCCTTCTCTTGGCAACCAGGGGAGCTCGACATTCCGTCTGAATTTTTTGGTAGCCTCGGTGGTCTTAATGTTGATTGCTTACTGAGTCCTTAGAATTTTTGTATTCTGCATCTTTAATTTTTGGCTTTTCTCTTCTTTAGCAGCTTAGGCTGATAGTTTTGGCCAATTGCGGTTTTTTTTTTTGTGTTCGCATTTGCTCTTTTATATAATTCTGTAATCTTTTTTACATCAATGATATGGGCTTAGGCCCCAAAATTTCCCAAAAAAAAGGGTTTCAGCTGCCTTGCCAGAGTGAACGATTTCGTGCTCCATAAATATAGTAGCTTCGGCCTTTGAGTTCCAAGTATGAACAGCAAAACGCAATCCTGAGCAAGGGCGGAAATTGTTTTTCATTTTATAGGGCGAAAAATTTTCATATAAATGGCCTGATATTTTTAAAAATAAAATGAAAACATAATGCTTTCGGTTCCCTTTATCATGCTTTAGGTTCTTCTCTCATCTGGAGATTTCTTAATTCTGAAAGCATTTTATTTCAATGGTGGAGAACTAAATATCAATCCCTCTGGAATCGACAGCCCAAAAATGTCTCTGTTTACTAGAAATTCATATACATTATTGCTTCCAAAATCAAACACTGCCCACTCTCAGAGTTCATATTAACAATGCTTTTTCCCTCCTTTGGGATCCATGGAGCAATGGCAGATCTATTATGGATTTATTGGAAATTCAATCCCTAGGTATCAATCTCACTAACAGTTCTCAGTTGATAGTGTCATCCATAATGGGGCATGGAATCATCCTCATTTCTTTACTGATGGTCTCATTTTGAAATCAATTCGGTGGCAATTGCTCATTCGGCTATTGGCTGTCTTTGGATGGGCATTGAACACCCCAACGTTAGCTCCTTTACTTTGTTTGCATTTTTACGATCAACTGGCACAATTATATCTGACACAAGCGTTATGCTTAAAGATTCTTGGTCCACGCTTGGTTGACCTTCAAAAACAGTTTAAAAACTACAAAATGATCTAGCCCGAAGCGGTATCCCTGTGGCATCATCTTGAAATTCACTCCCACCTATTCTTTGAAATGTGACTTGACTTTTGTTATCCTAAAAGAATTAATTCCTGGGTTGGGTACTTTACCTTGCAACCAGTTTTATCTCAAACATTCTCTTTTATTGAAGATTTGAATGTTGACAAAAAAATGAAAAGTTTTTATTATGTGATAGCCTGTGCTTCTATCTACTATATTTGGAGGGCTAGAAATGATAGATTGTTTGAGAATTCCTTTGAGTTTCACACCACGATGGCTGGAAAATCAAAAGAATGTATCCTATAAAACAACTAAATGGAAAAACTCTCACACTTTTCGTTAGCTGCTCTCTTGAGTTTTTCTGCACAGGGCTGCTTCCACTTTGCGATATGTAATTATGTTACAAGAACTGACAAAATTAAACATGCAGGTAATAAATATCAAAACAAGATAGACTTGGGCAGCCACCTACCATTCCAAAAAGAATCAAGTTCTTGCCAATGTAAAAAAGGGAATAATAATTCCTCCAACTAAAACACAGCAAATAAAAGGCATTCTCAAAAGGAGACAAAAAAGAAGCAAGAACAAGAGTAAAATAATAAGAATAATCAGATGGCAATGGAATCCATGAAATAAGACCATATAGGAAGCATTACCTATTATATTGCACGTTATGCAGCACCAAGAACCCAAAAGAGCATTCCATATAGTAAATAAAAAACGAGGACCGATTGGACGAATAAGAAGTATGAGCAAGATAATTCAAATTATCGTTAAAGATAAACAAAAAAAAAACTGTAAAATAAAACACTTACAACTAAAATGGCAGAAACTTGCAAGTTGCAACGGAAGGTCGCCGCCGCTCCGCGTCTCCCTACGAAATACGAATTGGCCGGGCGATGCTGTGGATGACGAAGGCAGCTTGTCGATCGTGCACTCGCGAGAGAAGAGAAACGGGAAAGAGGCAGCCGAAATAAGACCTTCCACCTTCTACTTGAGCGCGGCTGTGCGGGACAATCTTGCGAACGAGAGGAAAGGAGCTGGTTCGCTAGGGCAAAATAATTTTTCTTCCGTTACTTTTTTTTATTTGCCGTGTTTTTGTTGGAGGAAGCAAGAATTGATTTTTTTTGGAATGGTAGGCGGCTGTCCAAGTCTATCTTATTTTGATATTCATTAGGGAGATTTACATACATATTATTATTATTATTTTTATATATCTAATATTTAAAATTTTATTATTATTATTATTATTATTATTTTATATATATAATGATGATCAAATTGCTTATTCCTTCTTCCTCCTTCATTATTTACCTGTAGCTTTATGCACCTGTGTAGTTGGGCTAGGGGTGCAAACGAGTCGAATCGAGCTCGAGCTGAAGACTGTTCGAGCCTAGCTCGTTTAATGTAAAGGCGGCTCGAACTCGAGCTCGAGCTTGACTCGTGTGTCCGAAACCCAAGCTCATATTGAGCTCGTTAGCTCAAGCTCGATTAGTCAGCTCGAGCTCGACTCTGAGCAAAAGCTCGATTACAAGTTCAAATTAAAAATTTTAAATGATTTTTTTACATTAAAATGATATTTTTAATAATTTTTTTAATTTTTACCCATTAAAAAAAAATTATTGTTATATCTACAAAAATTATTTTAGAAGAAATAAAAAAGCACATGAAAACATACATCAATATATTCCAACATTACTAGAATTGGAGATCGATAAAATTTTATTAAAAATTTACTAGAGAATGACTTAATTTATTCTCCATATATTCCAACAATAAAACAAACCATTAAAAAAGCATATTATAAGTTTCATAAAAAAAAATTATTGTTATCTCTACAAAAATTATTTTAGAAGAAATAAAAAAGCACATGAAAACATACATCAATATATTCCAACATTACTAGAATTGGAGATCGATAAAATTTTATTAAAAATTTACTAGAGAATGACTTAATTTATTCTCCATATATTCCAACAATAAAACAAATCATTGGCAGCCATTCCAATAGCATGACTTTGCAATCTCAAGATAGTGAATGACTTTGCAATCTCACGGTAAAGCTTGTGAAACAGTTAAGAAGTTGGAATTTTTAACATCACCATCATGACTTGTATTTTTCTCACATCAACACCAGCTATTTCACCAACTTGTGGGAGAGTGTTAGGGTTTTGCTCCCGCCGCCAGCTTCCCGGTTTTATTCTCTCTTCTCCCTCCTCCTCCTCCGGCACTTGCCGGAGGTTTTTCCCCGTTTTTTCTTCTGACTCTTCCATGGAGGCTCACTCTGCCAAGGACTTTCCTCTGCTATCCTTGCATGCAGGGGGGTCCTCTTCCTCCGCTCTTGCTCGTATCTGGAAAAATATTGTTGTGAAATCGAACCCCATATCTAAGGATCTTCAGCTCTATTTTCTTCCCCTAGAGCCTGAAATTATTCTGTTTGCCGGTGATAGGCTTGTTAAAGGGGCGGAAAATTGGAATCTGTGCTTGGTGGGCTATTCGATTGGAAGGAGGCATTACTATGAAACTCTTTTAGGAGCTATACGCAAAACCTGGACTTTAAAAGGTTCGATGCAACTATTATCTCTTTCCGATGATTTTTTCTTCTCCGTTTTACCATGATGGAAGACTACGAAATGGTCTGGTTTAAGGGGATGTGGTTCTTCTTGTGGGTAGACCTTTTCTTCTTCAGAAGTGGTCGCCAAAATTTTGTCCCAAGCGTGAAAACTTTACCTCCATCCCAATCTGGGTAAAAATACACTATCTTCCTTTGGTCTGCTGGAACTCCGAAGGTATCTCTCGTATAGCCAGCAAGATTGGCATCCCGATATCTATTGAATGCCCTCACAGCTCAACGAACCCGCCTGACTTTTGCCTGAGGTTGTATCCAAGTTGATGCAGATGCTAATTACCCATAAGAAATCCCGATATCTATTGAGGATGATGTTTTTAGTCTCAAAATTCAATATGAATGGAAGCCATCACCCTGCGAGCACTGCAAATCCCTGGTACACTCCACATCCTTTCGTCCCACAAAACCGGAGACTGCTCCTTTGACCGCTCCCACTGTCCCACCGACTTCTACCACTGCTCGTGGTCAAAGTAAGAGTAGAAAGCCTCAAGGTAGAAATGCTCCTTCCTCTTCTACCATTCCCCCTACTATAATCCCTTCTTCTATCATTCTTTCTGGTCACCATTCCATAGCTCAGCCACCTTCTTCGTCTACTCTGGAACCTCCCCTGATTCAGGATAATCCTGTTTCATCAACCCCACAGCTTCCCCCGCATACCAACAGTCACAGCCTACATAAATTGCCACCTCTTCCTGACAATCCTCCTCCTTCCACAATTCCTCTGGTGGAAACCCCAGCCTCCAATATCCCGAATCTAAATTTTCCACAGGGTGATACCTCATCATCTACCTCCACCTCCATACCAACCTTCAAATCTTCACCACCTAAAGTCCACTCCCCCAATAAATTTGATGCTTTGCATTTGTTAGAGGAAGAACAAGACAATTCAGCTGAATGTTCTAATATGGATACAGACCAAATAGCTCGGGTTAAAGAAAAAAGACACAGCCCAAACTCAATCGGGTAAGCCTCTCAAAAACTATTGGGGTAGATTTAGCCAGATTTAGTCTAAATCCTAGCTAATTCTTGCAATCAAATATCCCCTAAAGATCAAGAACTAAATGATTGAAGCAAAAGGCAGATCTGAAAAGAAGTCTTGAAACTCCTATTCTGAGCACATTAGAGAAGCTCAAAAATATATTCATGAGAGAAAATAAAAATCTGAAACATATATCACAACTCAAACTGCATCATCTTCTTATCAAAACTCCAGCACACACTTCTTAAACACAAAAAAGCAAGAAAATAAAAAACTGAAATACAGTAGGAATAGAAAAACTTGATTCAAAGAAACAAAATCCATTTCATCCAATTAATCTGAAAACCAAACAAAACCTTGATAAGAATCTCACCTTCAAAAGATTAGAAGCGAACACCACGTGGGCCTTGTTCTGCAACAACGAGACGGTGACTCGAGCAACTCCCTAGATGCTGCTCACAGCCGACTCACACTCTCACAGTACCAGAGGAAGAAGCAGAACTTCAAGAAAAAAAAAAAGAGCACAAGCAAAACTTCAGTAAAAAAAAACAAAGAAGATTGAAGAACAAATGAGCAATTGATAGGACTCCTAAAAAACATACGGACCTAATCGGAGCAGCTGGTAGCTCGAGCACCGGAGGAACGCAGCCAAGAAGCGATGCCCTGGCTCACGAACGGGAAGGATGCCTCACGCCGCAGCCGCACTCTACGTCTTACGATTTACGAACCAAGCAGGCCGGCTTTCGTTAGGTATTTACTTAACCTACGGACGACGGACGTCCGGTTTAACTTTTCGCCCGGTCTGAAAATCCCGCAAAATCCCGCTCAGACTTAGAGTGCGTTTGGGACGGCTGCAGCTGTAGATAAAGCAGGTTATGAAATTGTTGTACATAAAGCTGCTTTTTCAAATTGCTGTATAGAAAGCAGTGTATTTTGTTTGGGCAGAATAACTGTCAAGTTGCTGTGCTGCAGTTATATATGAATAAATTACCTTTATACCCTCATATGTATTAAGATGAATAAATTTTATTCAAATATAATTTCTTTTCAAATTTTTATGTTAACAAACTAACACTTTTGTGTTAAAATCAAATTATTTTATAAGTTTATATATCAAATATTTTATAAGTTTACTCTAAATAAGATAAATCTTTTTATTATAATTATTCTCATCATTGCATCCAAAATAAGTTTCTTAAAACGATTTTATCGACGCGTGACATACGTTACATTATATACTGAAAACTTTCTCTCGTTCAATATTAACACTATAGTGTTTAATTTATATTTTTTTACGAAAATTTTATATCATACAAATTCCTTGTAAGAGAACAGTTTGAACGGACACATTATACTGTTTTGCATTAAATGGCCATTGTTGTGTGATATTGATGATTAATATAACTACCTAATTCTAATTAAGAGCTATTGTGAATTGCATAGATCCAAACGGAAAGGCAATATCACCAAAATTAAAAAAAAAAACAAAAACGAAGTGAAATGTAATAAAACCCGTATAGGGCGGAGCGCCTCAAGTATTTCTATTTAGGCAAAAGGAATGCTAATCCCGTTGCCCGAGGTAACTTGAACTGCGAAGGTCGCCGTGGCATGGCTCTTATATACATTACCGTGAATTTTTTCCTTGTCTGGGAGGGGTGGGGGATCACGTTGCTCGCGTTGGGTCGAACGCGCTAGTGTATCTTTTTCATCTGACATTTTTTTTCTCCTCTGATCTCACCTCTCTGACGGGTCATAAGAAGACAGAGAGGAGCCGGTTGCAGATGCCTTTAAGCGATGACAAAGGATGAGAAATTCGATGGAAGAAGCCGCATCGATAGATTCCTTTAGAGCGGCTCAATCGGAACAAGGGCTCCCAACACCAGCACAGACTCCCACGGAACTCGACGAGTTTTCCTTCCCGTTGAGCATCAGCGAATTTCCTGATAAAGGAGAAAAGTACGAGACAAATCGTTGGAGGCGAAAAAGCGGAGAAGAATAAAAATGTGGATTGACGGATCGTTGGGGCAGCGGAACGAAGATGGCATTTACGACATTTTTTGCGGTGGAAATTGCGGAAAGCAGCCCACCGCGGGAGGCACTGAGAGGTCGCAGAAAGCAGCCACGGCCCGCAGAAATTTTTCAGACTCGGCTCTGCCGCAATGCCCCAAACGAATATTTACCAATTTTTTATAAAGCAAAGCAGCCATGAAGCAGTCCCAAACGGACCCTTAATTCTCAAACCGCCCGCTCAGCTTCAATTCGCAAATTTCAAATCGACGGCTTTTAAACTGGTCGGCTCGACGAGCGCTCGAGCCGAACAGAGCCGGCTCGAACTCGAGCTCTATAATACACCGAGCTCAAATTTCTGCTCGAGCTCGATACTTGATAAGCTCGACTCGCGAGCTCGTTAACGAGTCGAACTCGAGTCAGCTCATGAGTCGGCTTGACTCATTTGCACCCCCTAAGTTGGGCTACCTAATTAGACATAAAAAAGAGCTTCTAGAATTAGTTCTGGAAAAAAAAAAGTAACACACAACATTTAAATAAATTTTTT